GTCTGTAGGGGATCGTGGGAACTTGCTCTCTGTAGGGGATCGTGGGAACTTGCTCTCTGTAGGAGACCGTGGGAACTTGGTGTCTATAGGAGATCGTGGGAACTTGCTCTTTGTAGGAGACTGTGGGAACTCCCTCACCGGAGATCATGGGGACTTAGTGTCTGTAGGGGATCGTGGGAACTTGCTCTCTGTAGGGGATCGTGGGAACTTGCTCTCTGTAGGAGACTGTGGGAACTTAGTGTCTGTAGGAGATCTTGGGAACGTGCTCTCTGTAGGAGACCGTGGGAACTCCCTCACCGGAGATCATGAGAACTTAGTGTCTGTAGGAGATCGTGGGAACTTGCTTTCTGTGGGAGGCCGTGGGAACTTGCTCTCTGTAGGAGACCGTGGGAACGCTCTCTGTAGGAGACCGTGGGGACTTAGTGTCTGTAGGGGATCGTGGGAACTTGCTCTCTGTAGGGGATCGTGGGAACTTGCTCTCTGTAGGAGACTGTGGGAACTTAGTGTCTGTTGGAGATCGTGGGAACGTGCTCTCTGTAGGAGACCGTGGGAACTTGCTCTCTGTAGGAGACTGTGGGAACTTGGTCTCTGTAGGAGACCGTGGGACCTTGCTCTCTGTAGGAGACCGTGGGAACTTGCTCTCTGTAGGAGACCGTGGGAACTTGGTGTCTATAGATCGTGGGAACTTGCTCTCTGTACGAGACCGTGGGTAGTCTGCAGTGCCAAACCAGGTTTTTACTTCTCACAACCTCGGGGAGGCTTATTTTGCTCACTATGTGAGCTCTTTTTCCTTGTCATCCCCTCTCACTCCTTGGGGGCTTGATGCTTTCCTGCCAATTCCTCCTCATCCATGTAGGAGTTGGTGTTCCTCACCATTGCCTTCTTCTCTATTCCCGGGAAGTTGGTATCCTACCCCATCCTCCTCGCCAGCTTCCAGTTTTTGGTTGTTGGTTTCCTTCCTTCCACTTTTTACTTGCCACTCCTTGTGGGTGGTCTCCAGCATATCACCTTCGGGTGAGCAAT